CAAGGGCTGATACCTGTGTAGGCCAAGCCACAGGCCTCAGGGGTACACTGGCCTTAGAGGAGGTCTGCTCTCCACTTCAGGAAACCAGAATGTTTGCCATTCTACACACAAGGAAACCAAGGTCAGAGAAATTTTCAGCTTAAACCAGCTCATACAGCAAACAAGCAAGAGGCCTGATTCGACCAACTTTCACTGGGACTCAAAAAGCACATGGGTGTGAAAGGCCAGACATGTGCCATGTGGTCAGAATCTCTGGAGACTTGGAGGTCATGCGACAGAGCTGCAAGTGTCCCTGAAGAGTCAGCCCCTGCTGCACCTATTGCCTCTACAGGAACCGAGAGGAGGTAAGAGCTTACTTAGTCTCATCACACATGGGTTCCTCCTGGCTCCTTTCTCCCCAGCTGAGTTCAGGAGGATTGAGAACAAGTCATTCAGACTCCCCACTACTTGGCCCCAAAACATGCGCTTTCTTAACATGTTGTCTTGTGTTCGGGGTTTCGGTGCTCCAAGTAAACTCATCCTAGAGACCAGACCTTCCCCTAACTGCCCATATGCTGCTGTCTGTCCATCTGTCCATTTTTTGGTGTCATCTCCAAGCGTGAGAGTGAGGGAGCAGTGTGGGCTGCAGGTGTCTCGTTCACAGAGGCTGCACTGCCATAGCTGTGGAGGTCTGCCTGTATCCTAGCCTGTGGGTCCGCCTGTACAGGTGTCATGGCCTGTATCCATCTGAATATGCAACAGATTGCCACAGCTTCGTCCTGATTTACCTTTGACTTGGTACCCAGCATCAAAGTTACTCAGCCCTCCTTCTGGCTCTCTCCCACCTCTAGTAACCACCATCCTACTATGTTTTATTTTTTAAGGTTTTCCTATTTATTCAACGGTACAGTGAGAGAGAAGATACATCCACCTGCACATACGCATGTGCACACACACAGGAGAACAAGAGAGAATTTTCCATTCCTCTAGGCCAAATCCAGGAGCCAAGAACCACATCTGAATCTTCCACATGGGTGGCAATGACCCTTGAACTTGAGCCCTGGTGCCTTGGTATGAGATGCATGTAATACTCAGAGACTTGACAAATGGATGGGGAAAAAAACATCCAGAAAGTAATACCCACGGGTGGCATTTGGCCTGGTGGCTAAGATGCCAGTTAGGACGCTCTGTCCCAGCCGGGGGTGCCTTTTTGTGATTCATGGCTCTTGCTCCCACTCCACCTTCCTGCTGTGGCCTCTGGGAGACAGTGGTGATGGCTCAAGCAGTTGGGTCCTTGCCACATACATGGGATACCTGGACTGAGGCCTCAAAACCCCCTGATGTGCAACATCCCAGCTGTTGTGGGATCTGAAGCCAGCAGAGAGGACGCCTCTGCTTTCTCTATGTCTGCCCCCAAATAAATTCTTAAAAATGGATGTTGTTCATTAAAACATTTAGAACTGTGATTTTGTAGCCGACTTGTTTCTGGTTGATGAGGTCACGGATCCCTGAGTGTGCGTGATGTGTGTGGGTGTAACACAATGTCCCTGTCCTGGAGTGTTTGCCCATTCACAACCTAGCCAGGAGTGTGGCTCCGGTAGGAATCCCAAGCAGTCAGACCTTTTCTCTGAGCCTGTGCCACTTCCATCACGTCAGCACTAGATGGTGCTCTAAGGCTGAAGTCACCGCTTGCGTGCCCCACCGAGTCCTCTGTCCCAGGGGGCAGCATGAACTTAGACTTGTCCCTGAGCTGGGTTTGGCACATGGCTCAGGATGAAGCAGAGGAGTGTCCATCTCACTAAGCCTTCTTCCGGCATAAGGGCAAGCCCGGGACTGGGCCATGTCTGTAACCGTGTGGCTTTCCAGCAGAGGGTTTCTGCGTTTGCAGTGCTGCCTGGGTGTCTCTGTATGTATGTCACCATTCTGACAAGAGCTGCGACAGCGACACGCTCAGAGAGCTGGTGGACAAAACGACACACTCCCGGAGCTGCTTCCTCTTTGACCTGGGATTCAGACTGGCCCCTGACAGCCTCTGGTGGAGTCTGAGCAATGGGGACCAGTTGAAGGGGGGCTAGGATTGCTTTAAAGAACTCTTGGTATGCGTGGCCATCTGGTGGAATTTTGGAAGCAGTTTTTCACCAACAGGGATTTTGAAGGGTGGGTTCTCTGTGGCAGTTCTAAAATGTGGAGTGCTTGCATGTATAAACATAGAGGCATGTGCTAGGCCATGAGGAGCAACTCGCATGCACACACACCTTCCTTTAGCCCACCCTCACCTTCTCCTGCTTTGGAGACTCCAGCAGGCAGCTGAGTGAGGTGATGGCTACTGTCATGTCCACCTCCTCTAGGCCAAACTGAGCTCCTTGCTTTGTACTCAGTGTAAATGCAAGCTGTAATGTCTCACACGCTAGCTTTAGCCTAGGGTTGCAAGCTCTTGCTTTTTTTTTTTTTTTTAATCAGTTAATTTATTTTGGAGAGAATCTTTCATGTGCTAGTTCACTTTCCCAAATGGCTACAATGGTCACAGCTAGTCCAGGCAGAAGCTAGGAGCCTCGAATTTCATCCCGTCTCCCATGTGGGTGTCAGGGCTGCAAGCACACGGGCCAGCATTTTCTGCCTCTCCAGATCATCAGCAGACAGCTGCATGAGGAGCAGAGCAGCTGGGAGTGGAAGCACTTGTTTGATATGGGATGCTGGAAGTGGTGATTATAAACTCACCACCTTGAAACTTGACACCATTGCCCTTCTCAGTAACTGTGTGCTAAAGATATGTGGGGAAGTCGCGCCTCTAGCTAAAAAGGCAACTTCTCCTAGACACTTTCAATGAGATGTGACCAAGTGTCCGAATGTTGATGAATGAGATATAAGTGGAGGTGTTGATTCTTTATCCTTTTCCCTGCTTAGGATGCAAGTATGATCATTGGAGTTACAGCAACTATTTTGGGCCTCGAGGAAACAAAGAGCATGGGTCAGTTTGGACTAGAAGAAGATAAAAATGGTAGAAGGATGGCTCACTGCTACAAGGGATACCCTGACACCCTGAGCCTGTCTAACCTGGGAGGCAAACACACCACTGTTTAGATAGGCCATTTGCCATGTGCAGCTGCACACTCTGCTACTTCATACACTTGGGAAAGTTTTGAATGGATGCACACCACAGAACAGTCAGCCTTTGGTGTCCCAGTGCCCTACATGCAGTGCAAACACAGACAATACAATGATCAAGGCCAGAGGGCCGAGCGATCCGCAGGTGGCTGCAGCTGATTCTTACCATGCCAAAAGGTGCAATCCTGGCACACACTGGGAGGACGGCCATCGCTCTTGCTATTGCTTCAGAGCCAAGATGACATTTGAAAGATTTCACAGTGTTCGAGTTTTCAATGGTGAGGATGTTTAAAAACAAAAAGATTTGTTTTCAACTAACAAGGCATTTTTTGAATGTCAGGGACTGTGCTACACGTCTGCATATTCTTAATCTTCACAGCTCACCTTGACAGATGGGCAAGAAGGGATGGGTCACACACAGAGCTGGGAATCAAGCTGAGGTCAGCCATCAGAGCCCGTGCTACGGAATACCACACAAAAGCATCATCCCCACTTCTGTTTTCTCAGAGAGGTTCACCGTCCTGCTTCCTCTCAGTTCTCAAATGAACTAAGTGTTTATGATGTAGTCGGCTGAAATCCAGAGAGCGTTTGCTCACAATTTTAAATACATGTGTATATTTCATCTATCTGAAACATGGAGCAGGAGTGGGGGAGGGAAAGGAAGCAAGAGGCAGGAAGAAGGGAGTAGCAGGGAGCAGGAAGGAGGGAGGGAGAGACAGAGAACTTCCACCTGCTGATTCATTCCCCAAATGTCTGCAACAGCTGGGGCTGGGCCAGGCTGAATCCAGGAGCCGGGAACTCCATCCAGGCCCCCTAGGTGAGTGACAGGGACCCAACTGAGTGAACTCCCATCATCTGCCCTCCCAGGGCGCTGCATGGGAAGCAGAGGCAGGGTTTGAGCCCAGGCAGACCGGTGTGGGATGCAAGTGTCCCAGGAGGTGGCACAACACGCGCCCTCCGTTCCCCTTTAAGATCAGAGTGGCGCATGCAGCCATGGCTGCTGGAGTTTGGACTCCAGGGGCAGAGAGCCGAAGCCATGGTCCATAAACCCAGCTCATCCCTCCCCTGACTTGTCAAGTCGTTCTTTACATCGAGAGAAACACCAGGCATCACTTACATCCAGACCGGGAAAATGAGAATCCCCTTTAAGACAGAGAGACACAAGTGTTGTCAGATTTCCACCAGAATCCAATCTTTAATGGCATAAAACACTTCATATATGGCTTTGCTGTCCCCAAACGCATGACCCTAAAACCCAAATATGACACAAGCATTATTTTTGGTTGGCCTCTTCAATCTCAAAGGAGGTTAAAAAGTCATAATGTAAAACAAAAACCTGTTAAGGTCAAGGTGTTTAATGATCGGTCACCATTTGTCTACTGGTGACTCCTGTCCTACTCTGCAGGCTGCTAAGCTTAACTCACTGTCTAGCAAGTGGTTAGTGACTAACTCCCTGAAGTTCAGCCATGCTCTGGAGACACCTGAGGCACTTAGCTAAGTGGGGGGCAGGGATGGGCATCGTTCTGGGCTGGGGACAATGTCTGGCTCTGGAAAGTAAAGTACAAGAATTTACAGTGAGACAGAACGCCCTGTGATTGTGTACCCTTGGCAGTAAGGACCAGGGGTTTCAGAGCATCCTTTCTGGAGAGCTTTGAGGCTTGGCGAACAGGCTGCTGAATGACCGTCTTCGCCTCAGACATGGGCACGGTGGTCATCCCAGGGTCTGGAAGGACAGCTCCCAGCAGACAGAGTGATGCTCCACCTAGTGACCACGTGCGATGGTACAGGTCCTGACAAGCAGAACAGAACAGGATGTAAACAGTGCGCGCTGGCAGGATAATCCACCAAGTGTCAAAGGAGCAGAGGCATGTCCAAGGGCCCGGCACGACACTGGCTGACTTGCCTACACCCCTTCCCTAATTGGCCTCCTCCACATCATCTTCCCCGGCAGTGGCAGCTTCTAAAGCGGCCAGGGCTTCTGCCACCGCTGCGTCTTCATCCAGCATCTCCCAGTCCCTGTTTGCAATGGAGCCATGGGCGTCTTCCTGCTCGCTGCCGGAGTCAGGCGTTGGCACAGGAAACGTGGGGCCCTCCTCTTGCAGGCATATGCTTAGATTTTCCACGGCCACGGCTTCACTGAATGAGTCCCAGCTTCCCTCCATGGTGAAGAGCCCCTTCCACCTGCGCACTCCACTTCCCTGCAGTGGCTCATCCTCAGTGGGGTTCAGGAAAAGACAACCCCCATCATTAAGGTCCATGTCGTCTGCACTGGGACTGCAAAGCTGTGGGTAGTCCGGGGGTGGCATCTGGAGGACATGGCCTTGTTCTCCCAGGGACAGGCTTTCTGCCTGAGATGCAACTCCGGGGTCTCCGGTTTGGCTGATCTGGGTCTGCTCTGAGGTTGCCGGCACACAGTCCTCTTTCCTGGTGTCCCCGCTTTCCAGGAAGGGTTGATTGGGGTGACTGTTGTGTGCAGTGCGGGCCCAGGAGCCCTGGTCACCCTGCTGGGGTGCAGGGTTCCCAGCTGGGCTAATGCCATTGACCGTGCCACAGGGCTTCTCGGCACTCAGTCCCCCTCCTGGGTCCGCCTGGGGGTGCGGTCCTTGGGCAGGCCAGCCGGGTTCCAGGAGACCCTCTGTCCTGCTGTGGCTCTCAGCCCGCAGCGAGCCATCGCTCTGCAGGTCACTTGTATGCACCAGGATCTTGCTGCCCTGCTTGTCTTTTATTTTCACAGGGCTGTCTTCGTCTATCTTGCAGCTGCTAACTTCGTTGACATAGCCATGGGAGGGCATTTGAACAGGATCCAGGAGATAGCTGAGGGTTGGGGAGGTGAGAATTAGAACAATCAGCCAGGGCTGCACCCTTCCCAGCCATTCCCACCCTCTCCTTGGGCTCCACTTCCGTCTGCCCCTCCAGCTGGGGATGACCTCCTCGTGTAAGATTTTCTGCATGTATCTGAACCAAACACAGATGGTGGGTGTACACCCAAAAAGGGGTGGAGAGAGAAGGTAGAATTCAGCCTGTACTGAGGGATTGTAAAATTAAAGACAAATATTCCTTAAAATAAGGAGTGCAAGACAGACAAGACATCCTTTCAGAGGAATAATATGTGGCCATTAAAATGACAGATATGAAGTCTGGAGGAGAATAAAGCTCAGTTGCAGCTCTGTGTCCCTGGATGTTTGGCTCGAGGACCTCGGCATATGCCCCAGTCTGCAGATGTGCGAGGCACCATGGCACAGGGACAGGAGTCTCATCACATCTACACACATTCTCTCACACATCTGAGATCATGTCCAGATTACTTTCAGTACCTAATGCAAAGTAAAAGCCATGTCAATAGTTTTTATTTACATGGAATGACAGGGAGAGAATCATGGCAAGGAGAATGTCTGTACTGCTCCATACTTGAAAAACGTTTTCATTCTGGTGGTTGGTGAATCAGCACAGTTGGAAGTTATGGGTACAGGGGCCAGCTGTTTGACAACAGACATTTTCTGATTCAGACTATCACCTTGTCAACACAGCAGACTACATCTTATGAACGCTGGGGCCCCAGGCTGGATGGCTGTGTGGACTCCAAAAGTGAGTGCGTGATAATCCCCAGTTCCTCCATTTGCACAAAGTGTTTTTTTTTTGAACTTTACCTTTGTATCATTTTGCAGCATTTGCACCCCATCTGGATTATTGATTGTTATCATCTGGAAAAGAAAGTGTACACACGAGAGTGCATGGTCAATGATACCGTAACAAGGTTTGCTTTTTCTTCTCTAGATACTCAAAGTGAACGGAGGTTCCGATCTTGGCACGAGGGTCTCCTGCGGGTCAGGGAGGGCACTGCCCTGGCTCAGAGGTCCCCATCACTGACTGGCACGCCTCTCGCCTGATCCCTTCGCCACCCCAGGAGTTGTGTGCTTCATGCCCATTTTACGGATGAAGAAAACATAAGTCAAAGGAAGAACAATCCAGAAACTGGCGTTTCCAAATCCACTGCCTCTTTAAAAACAACTGTCTTATGTCCTCAAGATTTATTTCATTTATTTCAAGGGCAGCATAACAGAGAAAGAGGAAGAAACAGAGAGAAAGAGGAAGAAACAGCATTTGCTGATCCAATCTGCAGATGCATGCAATCACTGGGGGCAGGCCAAGCTGAAGCCAGGGGCCCCTCCCCAGGTGGCAGGAGCCCAAGCACTTGGGTCATCCGCTGCTGCTTTCTCAGGTACATTAGCAGGGAGTTGGATCAGAAGTGGAGCAGCTGGGACTTGAACTGCTGCCCATGACAGATACTGGTATTGCAGACAGTGGCTTAACCCACAACACCACGATGCTGCCTGCAATCCATTGGGTTTGATGAAGGACCAAAGATGTTACAGAGCACAGTTAACAGGAGATGTAAGAGCCTGTGAGAAGATCCTTGCCAGGGTTGAGGATAAGACCTTTTAATCTGTTGGGTTCCACAGTGCAGGCCCAAAGGATATCACAGCATCAGTAAGGACAACAGTGAAGTTTTGGCTGTGCCAAAGGGCTCCTGTTTTCTTTGTTCTTGTCACTGACCCATCCCACCTGTGACTAGCATGCCATTCTGTTGGGGCTCATAGAGCCAGTGCTCTGCCTGGTAGAAGTGGACTCCTCTCTCCCTGTCCACTGCTGCCCATCCTTCCCAAGTCCATTTCTCCAAGTATTTCCCTTGCAGCAAAGTCTTCTCAGCAAGCAATCGATCATGCTGGTCGGCCGTGTTCTCAGGAAACTCTAAAAAGGCGTGTGGAAGAATCACCAGATCCTTTCCATCCTGAATGACCACAGCCTTTACCAAGACAAGCCAGCGCTAGAGCGAAGGCCCCAGTCTCTTTGTCTCCAAAAATATATGCACTAGGGAGAGAGAGAGCAAGAGAGAGAGCGAGAGAAAGGGAGAGAGAAGGTAACAAATGATTATGTTACTCCTTTAGGCATTTACTATTCTGCTTATTTAATTTTAGAATTTGCCTTTACTTATTAAAACAGTGTTTATTATAAGATAGTACATGGACAAGTGCTTGGCACGATAGTTAATGTGCCATTTGGGGACAGGGCTGAGCAATTCAGATCCCACATTGGTGTGCCTGGCTTGCCAGTATCTGCTCTGAGTCATGGTTCCACTTCTGGCCAGCTTCCTGGACATGCACAGGGAAGGCTGTGACGTGCGTGGGTTTCCAGCACCCACGGGGTGGGGGGATCTGGATGGAGCTCCTGGCTCCTGGTTTTGCGCTGACCCCCATCCTGGCTGTTGTGGGCATTTGGGGGAGTGAACCAGGGATGGACAATGGCTGTCTGGCTATCCTTCCCTCTCTCCTTCTGGCTCTCTGAATTTCAAACATCAACAAGGGTTTGCATGGTGCATCTCTCCCGGCTATGCCTCCTAATCTCTCATGTTTCATAGGTGGAGTTACAGACAGAGAAGGAGAGACACACACACACACACACAGAGATCTTCCATCTGCTAGTTCACTCTCCAAATGATCACAATAGCTGGGGCTTGTCTGGAGTGATGCTTGGGGCCAGAAACTCCATCTGGGTCTCCCATGTGAGCAGCATGAGCCCAAGCAATTGGGCCATCCTCTGTTACTCTCCTAAGCACATAAGCAGGGAGTTAGACGGAAAGTGGAGCAGTTGGGACATGGACTGGGGTTCTGACGTGGGATGCTGGCGTCGTAACAGTGGCTTGACCGGATGAGCCACCACAATGCCCCTCGGCTGTGTTCCATGGTTCCTCCTGATACGCGTTACAGCCGGACAGGAGGTCACTGATCCTTTTACGATCCAGTGAGGCAAGGGGCTCTGGGAAGGCGAGCCTCTCCTCACGTTTGTTTCCTTAGCGCTGAGTGTAGTGCTTGGCACACAGCGGACAGTGAACAGGGATAATAACACGTCGACCATATGGCGCTGCTGGGGATTATATGGGTTAATATTCAGAATGAGCACAACACTAGGTGACTTGGCCCTGTTTGAAGACTGCATATAAAAAAAAAAAGTAGAGACATTGCACCTGAGGAAGATGCAATGAGAGAAACAGCAGCATTAGCGATACCAAGCAGCACTTGCTTTGGAAAGAAGGCCTGGAGGGTCATAGTCCTATCAAACACAACACCGACACAGACCCCAGATACAACAGCAGCGCCCTGGAGGGACTTCCCCCAGCTCTGTCAGCATCATGTATGTGAAACCTTCTAGTTTCCCCAAGTAGTCCTAATTAAACAAACATCAAAGTAGTCCTATTTCCAAACATCAAGATTTTGTTCCTAGCCTCTGCTCTCCACCTCTCTCCATTCCCTGCTAATAATTCACACATTAAGCTGGATGAACAAGATAATAAAACCAGCAGGTGGGGCAGGTGCCGCGGGGCGGTGCACTCAGTCCGCCTGTGGGGCCAGCACATCCCGTAGGGTACTGGTTGGAGTCCCGGTTGCTCCACTTCTGATCCAGCTCCCTACTTATGGCCTGGAGTAACAGAAGAGGATGGCTCAAAACCTTGAGCCCCGGCATCCACATGGGAGACCTGGAGGAGGCTCCTGGCTCCAGGTTCCAGATCGGCTTGGATCTGGCTGTTGCGGCCATTTGGGGAGTGAATCAGCAGATAGAAGATCCCTCTCTTTCTGTCTCTCCTTCTCTCTGTAACTCTGCCTTTCAAATAAAAATAAATAATAGGGCCCAGCATGGTAGCCTAGCAGTTACAGTCCTCGCCTTGCACACACTGGGATCCCATAGGAGCACCAGTTCTGGTCCCAACGGCCCTGCTTCCTGTCAAGCTCCCTGCTTGTGGCCCAAGGAGGCAGTCAAGGATGGCCCAGGGCCTTGGGATCCTGTGTCTGCATGGGAGACCCAAAGAGGCTCTGGGTTCCTGATTTTGGATCAGCACAGCTTTGGCTGTTGCAGTCACTTGGGATATGAAGCAATGGATGAAGAATCTTCCTCTGTGTCTCTCCTTCTCTCTGTGTATCTGACTTTCCAATAAAAATAAAATAAATATTTTTTAAAAAGTAAAAAAAAGCCCATATATTTAATATATATAGTTAAAAAGTAGCAGGTGCACCTTTTGTCTCTCTTGATGCCCCTGCCATTCTCCTGTCACCACCACAGCCTGTTCTGAAAGCCTACCCTTTCCAGGACTCTAATAGCACTATTTATTTAAAGACCAAAACAAACCAAAACTATTTCATTAAAAAAAAAAAGAGAGAAAAGGGAGGGGAAGGAGTTTAGGTGGCACAAAACAAAACAAAACAAAACAAAACAAAAACACCCAACTTGTCAAATACATGAGAAAAGGGGCCTAAGAGGTTTTCCGTGGCATAGTTCCAACCGAATGGCAATCGTGTAGCTGAAGGCATCACAAATATTAGTCATTGACCCTCTCCCTGGGGTCAACTCTGTTGGGGACTGTATGCGGAGAAGGCGGCAGTGGGCTGGCCTTGAGTGATACCCAGCAGCACAGTCTGGCACCCCAGTTTCTCAGAGACTGTCCCAAACCGCATCCCCCACCCCTTGTGCTGTGTGGCGGAGGCTACAGGAGTCACCTGCAACTTGCCTGCCCCTTTGACAAAGCAGCCAGCCAGCATGGCAGAGGCCACCCTCGTCCCTGGAAAACAGACTTTATGTTGTCCTCCCCACTGGGCAATTGTACAAGATCGCTCCCCTCTTACCGCTGTTCCCTGTTCAGAGTCTCCTCCCGCTGCCTGCCTTCAGGGTGCAGCACGCGGCATGGCTAGAGACCTGGTCCCAGACCTGAGGGCCATGCTTCTGCGCCGGGGCTTCGCGATGGTGCTGGCTGCCTCTTCCTGGTCCCAGGTCCTGCCCTCTCTCCCTTCCTGCTCCTGTTTTCCTTCCCCCGGCAACATTCCTTCTCTCGGACACACTGGACTCTAGCGGCCAAGGTTGTGTGACCCGCTCAAGAAGAGGGTGGGGACTGCTGTATTTCCTTCCAACACGCCCCTTTCTGTGTGCGACGAGCTTCCCTAGAGGAGGGGTCACATCGAACCCCAGTTCTGTCTCTTTTCCCATGCCACTCCCACATCCCGCATCTGGTCTCGAGCCAGGAGCTCTCCTGTGTCCAGGTACAAAGAGGAAATGCCCCTCAAGTGACGTGGCAGAGGGAGGTGGAGAAAGCAAAGCTACGCTCTTTCCAACCAAAGCCGAGCGCAAAGCGAGTGGTCTTAGTGCTTTCGCCCCTGCCTTGCTTTAGATCACAGCGAGCTCCAAGGAGAGGGCTTGGTGTTCGGACACCCTTTACGACTCAGCAGAAAGAAAATGTCCTTTCTCTTGCAGTATTAAAAGCACCAGGGAAGCAAAGGGCAAATCCTTTGCCACCATTGCTTGGTTTACACAGGGGAAAAGCAAACACCATTAGGATGGCCGCGTCCGGCCAAGGCTGGCGCCCGCCTGCTACAACCAGCCTGGATGGAAGGCTGCCTGCGTCCCCGATTCTGTGTTAAAGTTAAATAGACCTGTGTTTGAGGATGGCCATGCTAACGTCCTGTCGCCAGGGAAGTCTCCTTGCGGGAAAAGCCTGTTTTCAGGAGAGTGGGGGCAGAGGTGGAGGTGGGGGCGGGGAGGACAGGCAGAGCCAGGAGCTGTGGGCCCAGTCAGGGCCATCTGATCGGGTGCTCACCAGGAAGTCAAGGGCAGCTACAAAAAGAGCTGCCTTTACAC